ACACTACACACACACAGCACACACACAGACACACACCACGACACACAAAATGAGAGATACAAACACACACACACACCGCAGCGCGCGCGCGCACGCACCACACGCACACACCACACTGCGCACACATCACACGCAACCACAACCACACAGGGACAGCACACACACACCACACCACACACACCACATGACACACTACACGCACACACACACCGTACACAAAAATGCACGATTACAAACACTCACCACATACAACATCACCACACCATACAACACGGCACACACACGCCACACCACACACACACACACACCCACACACACACACAACACACACACTACAACCACAGCACACACACACACACACACACACACAGCCACACGAACACACACCCACACACGTACAGCAAAAATGGCAGATCAAAACACACACACATAACAAACACACACACACGCACCACACACGTACACAAAAATGCCAGATACAAAACACACACACATCACACACACGCGCCACACACACGCAACACACACACCACACAGCACCAGCAGACACCACACACACACCGCACCACACCACACCACCACACGCACAAACGTCACACACAAATGCACACACACACACATACGCGCCGCGCACACATTCACACCAGCGCACCACACGCACGCACCGCACACACACACAACGCACGCACACACGCAGCGCACCGCACCACCACACACACCACACGCACGCCACACCCACGCGACGCACGCCACGCACACACACCGCACGCCACGCACCGCACGCACGCCACGCAACCACGACACACACCCATCATCACACACGCGGCACATCACCTGCCTGCGACGCCATACGCACGCCACATACTAGGCGCACGGCAACCATGCACACACACAACGCACGCGCGCACACACGCCAACACGTACACACACACGCGCATATACCATGCCACATAAGACGACCCTATCTATACTATATAGTATATACTATACTCATATTATACTATATAGCTATTTCGGAACCAAGTATTCACTTCATGACTGTGTTAGAAGATTTGGAATTTCTATAATACTTACACGGTTAATTGCTTAGTTGACCTCACGGATTGCTAGGGTCCCACTTCTCTAATGAATGTTCTGTAAAATCGTGTGGATATTTTACCCATTATCAAATCTATTTATGAATCCTTCGTAAGTCTCCGAGCTTGAACCCGGGCCATGCTGATTTTCGCTATGCGTCGAACGAGAGGTTATTCTCACGTTACTCTAATTATGCATCCAACACAAACCACTGGCAGGCTTTACACCACCACTGATCGTATGCGTCGACAAAATACTAGGCCAGTCTCGCTTAAATCTAAATTAATGGCCTGTCCTTCGTTACGCCATACATTGGACGTTAACGGTGGTGCATCTGCAGTTGGGATAAGATGCAAAACATATTACTACATGTGATTAGCTCCTTCCTTCAAAGTTATATCAACTCACCTATGTCAGCTGACAATCAACCGATTACGAATTCAGTGTCCAAAAACGTGTAAATATGCAATGTGATTTTAAAATATTCTTGCTTACTCGATTACACCGTCGAACTAGCTGGCAAATCTACGATCCACGAATGCTTCGCGATATATCCGAAGATCCTAGCTGCTTCTTAGATCTGGCCGTACTAACACTGTTCATCTACAACTCGCGGTCGACACCTCACCAGATAACAGATCACGAATGTTTATATACAACATCTTTAATTTAACTAACACGCCACCGGCGAATTCACGGGTACGAAACTCTGAATGAACGATATACGCACACGTGCGCGCACACGTGTCACAAGATGGACACGCACGCGCCACGTCACGCCCCACACCTGCGGTAATCATACGGCGCGCCACACTGCACGTATGCAGCACCGGGACGCCCAGACGTAACATTCTCCATAGCGATTTGGTTCACGTGTCGTTATATGCTGAAATCTTTCACACTTAATGTGAAATGAAAACAAACCCATCTTTTCGGGGGGGGACAATCGAGTATTTGCCCATAACTCTTACAGCCACGGCACATGCTACTATAGCACAATTTGGCGAGACTGGCCTACCGTTTTCAACGTTAACAAATCGCAATATGACACACATCATGAACACGTGTTCTTGTTTCAGAATACAATTTTATCCGGCATACTATTGTTTCAATGACAACTCAAACCGATAGAAGTCAATGTGAAAACGGTCGATGAATGAACAATGAATTTAATATCATTTTACTCACGTCGTAAAACTAGCTAGTAAATTCTCTTTACAAGTCTATTTGCAACATACGTTATGCAGTTTCTTCATTTCACAACGACTCCCTGACTGCTTCCTTACCACTCTTGAGCTCTCTCGTACAATCTCTCCCATAAATTCCTCAATAGACACACCCATGGCTAACACGACTCATGAATGGCTTGCTACCTCACATCCGTCATTTAGCTACCCACACACAAATAGCACGACACACACACGCGCGCACACACACACACACAACACCACACACACACACACAGCACACATTACCACACCCACACACGCACACCGGCACAACACACATTACGCACACCCACGCCCACACACACACACACACCACACACACCGACACACACACACACACACACACACGCACTACACACCATACCACAATCACACTCACACATAATACACAACACACACACATCACACGCCACACTCACCACTGACACACATAAACACACACACACATACAAAACAGACACAACCACACGGCACCCCACACACCACACATACACACACACACACATACACCCCCCCCACACACACACCACCACAACAACACAGACACACACACCACGCCGCACCACACACACCACACACACATATATAATATATATTATCTACTATATATAGATACTACTACATAATATCATATCATATATATATACTATCAGCACAACAAGCACAATCACACCGCGCCTCCGCACTGAACACTCACGCACAACAAGCACACAAACACAGCGCACGTGCGTACGCGACTATCGCCGACTTATTCACATTTGCTTATATGCGCTTCCTACTAATTAATCGAGAGAAAAATTAGAACACTAAATTTGCCGTAGCTTATATCACACACACCCCGTCCTAAATGTTAGCGGCACACACAAGTGTTGGCAACACAATGCAGCATACTTAAACAAGCTCGAAACAAAATCGCCAGCCGCTCGGTCCTATAATGGGAATACTACATACCGACGATCACTAGAGCACACCGCCTATACACACTTCTAACAGCACGTCTGTATCTAGTATATGCAGATTGTAACTATACCACCCTTTGACAGCCTAAGCACGGAAGCGGTATTCACACATCATACGTTGTGTATGGCAGGATGGTCTGTATTGCCATTCGAAGTACTTGACGCTTGGTCCTCTGCCAGGCTAGTCAGGCGACCGGTCCGAAGAGAGAGTACAGAAACGCTTAGATTGTTCATTTATCATAATGTTACAACACAATATACAACGCAACCCGCGCAGTGTGGCTGCTGTCGAGCGCTTTCCTCCTGTCCTTCTGTCTCATTCTCTCTTCCCTGCCTTCTTGTGTATTATACTCACCGACGGCCTCGCGATCACTACACTCAGATCTTATAGAGAAAGCTTCATTCTTTCGACATTGTGGGTGAGGCGTACACTGCTTCATCCAATCAACCAGGCCCCGCAGCCGACCTATCCATTTGTAGTCTGTATTGCCTCTGCTGGCTCCTGCGCCCGATCTATTTTCCACGGTTCGTATATTATACCATATCATCTATCCGCTGGACTACCATGGAATAATTTATCTGTTCTCGTCCTAAAGCCTCCTGTTGCTTAACCTTTCCTCTATCAAATCTCTAACTTTGCCCCATGTCGGTATTCACCGACCTAGTCAACTCCATTGCTATGCTCCACGGTATCGTTGGTAGTCGTTATAGTAATACATATTCCGCGCCACCAGCGTTGCTGCGCGAACAATTTAGTTGGACAACAGGTCAATATTATATTATATGCAATCCCTCATGAGCGAGGAGAACAAGAACAAAATCAGCGGTGTCTGTAGAAAGCTACGAGGGCTCCTCTATAGGCCTCCAGGCTCATAGCCTGACATAAACATCAGCAAACCAATAATGGCAGTTATACACAACTTAGAGCTAGCTTTTCGGCGGCATAAATGCTACTGTATTCCTGCTAAATTACGACGACGATCAAAAACCAATCCTCTGACTCGAAACAATTTTGCCAGACGTGTTTTCGGACCAGATTTTCACAGCATGAAGTCGACTCCCGTTTAAACGACAAAATAGCCGACGGTCACCACGGACGTACAGACTGCTTGACAGCAAACCACATTGACGGCAATAGCACAAAGGATACGAGCAAAACCAAGTTCCACACATCCTATTGCGTTCTCGCAGCCAGGACAACGCCTAACCCATCTTACGCTTCGGTCTACGATTCAGCTATCATTGCTCGCCTAATTGAAACATTAGGTAGAAATCACAATCAGAAAATAAGATCGTTGAAATATCTATTGCGATAACGTCGACACGGCTACTATGAAACAATAGTGCCGCGCATGACGACGCGGACACTACCTTGCTTCGCGCGCGCCATTCCGTTGTAACTAACGCATTGTGTTTTTAATACACAATTGAAATTGGCTTCGTATTACAGAAACATTTGATCTCTACTGTTCACTTCATCATATTGCCGCAGTAGATTGCAAAGTCATCTGATCTACTAAAAACAATGTGAATGCTGCTAGTCGGGACAACTATGGCTGTCATAGTGTTTGCTTTCGGCGAACGAATAGCTGCCCTCGCTACGCTCGGGCAACCTATACCTTCCCAACCAGCAATCACGACACACACACACACACACACACACACATAAACACGCACACACACATAAACACACGCGCACGCACGCACGCATACACATACACAGTTAATTATTGGTAAATGATTAGCAAATAGATCGACGCGATACATGACGTAGGTGTCACGTGACATTAATATGTATGATCGCACACAATTACCATGGCAAAATGTTATAAATGTATACACGTCGGATAAAGTTTACACCATTCATGCGTGATAGTATTTTCCTCCTGTGGGAATCGTGTAAACGACTGGGTTGCCCATACCAGAAATAAGCACGCAGTTGTTAACGCTTCCTGGAATCCAGACGAATCCAAAGCAATATGGCAACTCAAGGCAGTGACCTGCGCACAGTAACACCGAGGCGACACCTACTACCGGGCTTGTTGTTACATCACGTGTTAGCTCGTTCCCTGCGGACACAAGGCTGTCGTGGAATAGCAATTCGCTGAAGGCATCATCTGTTGTGTAAAAAAACACAATAATAATCTTCAGTCTTCTACTAAAACTCTGATGATCGAGTCTTCGTCAAGTAGATTAATAGACTGCATATAACGTGGTAATGATATTTTCTCAATCAATAATAGATGAATGAAAGCCTCTAAGAGAAAAGCCCTCTAGACAATCACCCCGGACAATCCCGCCCAAAGCCGCGGACAATCTTGCCCCCAGCCACGGACAATCCCGCCCCCAGCCACGGACAATCCCGCTCCAAACCGCGGACAATTTCGCCCCAAGCCGCGGACAATCCCGCTCCAAACCGCGGACAATTTCGCCCCAAGCCGCGGACAATCCCGCCCCAGCCACGGACAATCCCGCACCAGCCGCGGACAATCGCGCCCCAGCCACGGACAATCCCGCCCCCAGCCACGGACAATCCGCCGGGAGCCGCGGACAATCCCGCCCAAAGCCGCGGACAATCCCGCCCCAGCCACCGACAATCCCGCCCCCAGCCACGGACAATCCGCCGGGAGCCGCGGACAATCCCGCCCCAGCCACCGACAATCCCGCCCCCAGCCACGGACAATCCGCCGGGAGCCACGGACAATCCCGCCCCAGCCACGGACAATCCCGCCCCAGCCACGGACAATCCCGCCCCCAGCCAATAATTAATCTTATGAGATAAGTTTATTGAAAATATGATGAAAAATTTCCTATAAAATATGAAATTCAAACTTTTTTCCATCAATATTTTGATTGAATAAGTCAATGGGTTTGAAAACAGGCACACGCATCTCACCCATAAATTAAAAAATAAACATTTAAAACTGTTACATAATGAAGAATAATTAACTACACGTGAATATTGGTTTGAGAGTGAATGAGACATTGTGACGTAGTCTTATGGTTAGGGTGATTGTCCGGGGGTGATCTTCCGAGGTGGGGTAGTTGTAGGCGGCGGAATTATTGAGGGGGGCCTTACCCTAGTACCAAATTGATACACGTTAAAGGAATAGTTAAACGTTTTATATGAGTGAGTATATCGGTTAATATAATATATATATATATATATATATCTTAAGTAACAACACTCACAGTAAGTAATAACGAGAAGATAAAATAACGATAACATGTACAATTATATTGATAATAATGACAATGATAGTAAATTAATAATAATAATCATCATCATCATCATCATCATCATCATCATCATCCTCACTCAACTAAAGGCAAAATACAGAGGGAGTTAGCCGCGTGTAAGAGAGACCGATCTACATGAAGCTCGGATGTATTGATTCCCATGTGTGGTTTAAACTCGCGCAATCGCTTGCGCCGTGCAACACGCCACTGAAAACAGAAACTCACACATTTGCGCATTTCTACTTACATTCGTTGATTCTGTAAACCGAGTTCACACCGAAAGCTCCGCACATGACGCTGCCGTCACCCGGACACGCCTGGTTACAGTCGGTCTCATTCAGCTGTCCGTGCTTTCCGTATGCCATGCCGCATCTACAATTCCTTCCGTGTCCCAGACCCATGAATATGTAGCCACGCTCGATGCAGTGAGCGGCGCAGACGGTCGGGGTCAGGGTGCCTTTCATTTCAGTGAATGTCTCGAAATCTCTGTTGGTATACTCATCATTAAAGCATCCAATGTAATAAAGTGTCGTTGCCTCTCCTAAAACAGCACGAGAACAGCGAATGACATAATAACGAAATAAAGATAAAGGAACCGTATCAATGATTGAATGAATGAATAAATTAATAAAATTAAAGAATGCATTTACTAATTAAATTATAAGCACACAAAAATGAATATGACAAGTAACAATAACAAACTATAAAGCAATAAAGTTACGTGTACAATACTGTCATTAATAGAATAATGCACTCTTTGCATGTTTCAATTCAGATTTCACCTGATAACGAAACCTCTATGCACAATCTGCCTACACACTGAAACACGCGACGTTACAAACGTTCTCACCTAGATATATGTTCCATGCTATCGCTGCTAAAACAACAGCAAAGTAAATCACAACCGACTTGGTTCGCATTTTGCAGGTAGTTTTATAGAACGTGTTTGCGTTACCAGTCTGTGTATGTATGTATGTGTAAAGTTGTTTATACACACGTGTCGTACCACGTGACATAACACAGAGTGTTGCCCGGGTAAAAAGAGTTACTAGCTAAAAAAAATTTACATATGGCACCTGCGCTCATAAATTATGGGAAGGTACGCTGATGTTTGAATAGAGCCTAGCGCAAGCTAAGTAACTGTAGCTGGCACGCAACAGAACCCTTCCTCAAATTGTTCACCGTTTCAATATCTCGTCCCTGGAAAGGGCATTCTTTTAAATATTTTACCAGTAAAATTCGGAACCAGCGTGCACCAATTTGCGTCATGCCCGCCAGTTGGCTGACTCGTGGAGAGCCAGGGTTACTGGTTCTCTAAAGCTGTTGCTTAGTGATGTCGGTGTGTAGTTCCTTGTTATAATGACGAGCGACTGTGTTTAAATAATTAAATCGCCTTTTATTATCTAACTGCGTACATTTATTGAGCCTCTATAGCTTGCAGTAGCTGGTATATTATGGAAACGTTGTGCGAAGTTTTATTCTCATAATTTATCCGAAAGCGGCCGAGTACAAACGTTAAGTAATCGCGCAGTAGGCTTACGTACGTGCGTCTGCCTGCGTGCGTGCGTGCGTTTGTCTGCGTGCGTGCGTTTATGCACGTCTGCGTGTGGGTGCGTACAATCGTGTGTGCACGCATGTGTACGTATGCGTATATGTGCATGCGTTTGTGCGTGAAATTGCGTGGGTGTTAGGTAAATGATGGGTGTGCCAGGTGGTGATAAAAGGCTGTAACACATTCGTGACATGCTATCGGTGAGTGTCGACTGTGAATTGTAGAAATATGTTAGACGGCATGATGTAAGGAAGCAGGCAGGGATCTTGTGATATACCTAACTTTCGTGATGTAATTTGCCACTAGTGATGTGAAATGAATAAATCGAAATAATAAAATCACTTATTATTATCATTTTCACAGTGACTTTGCTCGGTTTATTGGAACGACATTGTATTGATACAACTTTATGAATGAAAATCACTGCATAATACGATTCGTAGCTTTCTCCAACTGCAGATGGCACCAGTTAACGTGATATATGCGTAACAAGAATATTAGCTTAACAGACTGCCTCGTAATTTGTACGCATCGATCAAGTGGTTGCCAAACTGCCAGTGTTGTTTGATGGCGTTATAAGAGTAACGTGAGAATAAGCCCTGTTCCACGATAGAACTCAGCATACCGGGTTCAAGTCGCAAGCTACGAAAATTTCATGAATAATTTGATAATGTAAAATATTACACGATTTACAGACATTATTAAAAGTGGACCTAACATGCGTAGGTCAACTAAGCAATTAACCGTAAATATTATGAAAATTCCAAATCTTCACACAGTTCACGAAGTAATACTATATCCCACGCGATAATATATATATATATATATATATATATATATATATATATATATA